AGAGGGAGGATGGCGGGCCTGGCAGGCGTGTGGATTGAATGGTGTCCCTCCCCAAAGAGAGAGAGAGAGAGAGAGTGAATCCTAACCCCCCACCTGTGGATACAATCTTGTTCAGAGGATTGCCTTTGCTCCCTGAATGGTGCCACACTGGTCTAGGGACCACGGGCCTCCACCTAACTGACCAGTCCTGATGGATGAGGTCTGCCAAGACAGACCCAACTGGAAGACAGATGCCACGTGTAGACCCGCAAGGGGCCGAGGGCCAAAACTACAGAAGCAGATTCTAGAAGGTTCCCCAAAGCACCAATCCCTAAAGAGAGAGAGTGCCGGCGCCATGAGTCCAGCCTTCGGGCTCCTAGAATGGGAGAAAGCACAGCCGTTCCCAACCCTCCAACCTCTCTACCCAGGCCGAGTCACAGCAGCCTGGGGACGAGGACGCCAGGTTTGGGCTCCCGACTTGGGGTGACTTGGGGTGCTCCCTGCCACGCACAACCCCAAGCCACTGGCCCCCACCCCGGGGCGGGTGGTGAGCGCGGTGGTTCTGTGTAAATTTAATTATTAGCATGAACTAAAGGTACTGTCATTGTTTAACTCATCCGACCTTTTAAATGGATAACCACCCTTGAGGCTTAATTGGATTTAAGAAAAAATCAATTTCTAGCCATTGCCTGGCGTTGAAAGGAAGGCAGGCTGCGACACACTCAGACGGACGTGAAGCCGGCTCAGCGGCAGAGTATTTATTATTTACAGCCTCGCGACGACATTACCTCCCCCGGTAAGCGGTTTATGTACACCTACATCTTTTATAAACCACCGCGAGTGTACACAGGCACACAAGTCATGTCACCGACCAAGTCATTACTTTCTGGTGGGCAGCGGGCCGATTCATCGCCGGCAATCTCCCTGCACCAATTACACGGCAAACAGGGATAATGACACACCGCTGTTTGCAAATCTCTCCCAGCCTCAGTCGGGGCTAATCTTTGTAATAAGGAGGGAAAAAATCCGTGAGGAAGCTTTTACCAAATCACATCTTGACCATTCAATCTTTCTTGAAAAAAAAGTCATTTAATTTTATGGGGAAAAAATGGACAATTAAAATGGCCTAAGCATTAACAGGACTGGCCTGGAAATGAGGAAGATGGAAGCCACCCCCTGAGCCCGTGTCTGGTCACACAGCCTTTAGGGAGGGTGTGCTTGCTGGGGCCTCACCTTCCACACCCGGGGAAGGGGAGGTGTGGGGCAGGCAGCCTCTCCCGCTAACCGACCGATGAAAGTGGTGTCTGATGGTTCCCGAAGCCAGGAGACCAGGTCAGAAAGCCCTTTGATCCCCCAACAGCACTTCCTGAGCCAGAGAGGCCAGGGGCACTCTGGGGGCCCCTTGCTGCCATCCTAACGTTGATGGACGAGGAGTCAGGGTTCCAGAAGGAAGGAAGTTGGGGGTTGGTTCAAAGCAAGTATGGAATGAGTAGTAGCTGACAGAAGATGCTGGGCCCAGGGGGCTATTTAAGATAAGCCCGGTTTAGACGGACATGCTGTGCGACAGAGTCTCACCTGAGGAGTCTGTTTGGCCAGGTTATGGCCAAACTGTCTAGGAAGGGTATGGTGGGAGAATTTTGACCACTGCACAAATGATTAATTTCTTGACCTCAATGGACCCCTGGGGCTCTCTGGAAGGTCCCTCTATCAGAGAACTCAAGGTAACTAACAGGAGGGTGGCATCAGGGGTGGGGGTGGCTGAGGCCCACAGAGCCCCGGACCTGAGATCCTTCAACCCGGCACCTGTCTCACAGAATGCCCACCCAGCTCGCTCATGTCACGTAGTCTCTGGGTGGCCAGGGGAGTTTGGGGGAAGATCCGGGGATGCCATCCAGTTCTACAGTGAAGCCGACACCTGTCCACTTACACCTGTGGACCAATGAGTCAGGACCACCAAGAGCCCTCCCTACACCCAACTTCAGTTCCTCTGAGAAGGGGTGCTGGCCAGCATGAACAAGATGGCAGGTTGGGGGATGCGCTCTAGCCGGGAGTCCTGCTGTTGAACCGGTTGCAAACAGGTCTCACTAAACTTCGCTAGGGGCGGTGAGACCCATCCGCATGGAGTGCTGGAGGCCCCCGAACAAGCAAGCATGCCCAAGGCTAGGGCTGGTGTCTAGTGCTCCCTCTTCAATGTCCAGTCCAAGGGACTGTAAGCCCCCTTGCCGAAACTCCCCAGTGCTGCTGCATCAGACGTGCACACAGGGGCTGGGTTGTTTTTGTTTTGTTTTTAACACAACAGAAATGTATTCTCTCGAAGCTCGAGGCTCAGGACACCGGCTCCCAGGGAAGGGCCTTGTCTTTGTGTTCCCGGGTGATCTTCATTGACATGGCCTCTCCCCTTCTTTTCCCTTCTCTGCTAGCTCACTGACTCTTACGCCTCCCAAAGAGAGTGACTCCCGTCTCGTTAACAGAAACCCCTTTCCCAGAGCGCAGGGCCTCCACACACACAGGGCGCTGGCACGACCCCCCTTCTGGAGGCTGCATTTCAATCTGTGACAGCACTGCCCAAGCCACACCAATGGCTGCCGGAGGGTCTCATCAGGATGGATGGACGGACGGAAGAGCAGCATTATTGCCGCTGCTCAGAATGTTCTGGAAGGCACAAGAGTGGATCTGACCTGGAGGCAGAGCCAATGAGCAAGCTGGGGGATGGACGGTCCCGTCAGAGCAGGAGGCTTGGGGGCCCATGCCTGAAGCTGACCGCTCTGGGCAGCCCCTCGATGGCCAGGCTCCAGGCGAGGAACAAGGCTGCCCGTGAGTCCATCATCTGGAGACTAAGGGACCCGGGGCTGGTGTTTACATTCGAACCTGTGAGCACATGACCCCCACCACAGGCCCATCAGGCCCGGGGGACACTCAAGGAGAAGGCTGGCCTGGCTCCTGCCCGAGGGAGAAGCTGACTGACCCTGCTGGCTCCTGAGTAACGGGGTAGCAAATGTTCGCCCAAAGCCTTCCCAGTGTGACACTGGATGTTGGTTTCCGGGCCATCCACAGTTGTATGTTCTCACAGGAAAAACCGTCGTCTGCCTCTTCTTGTACACGGGCCAACACGCTGACGGTTCCTTCGGAAAGGGCCCACAGGGGAGATGGGGGGACTCTCAGACCCCAAGCCCCACTGGCCCCTGAGAGCCCACCGCTGAAATCAGCACAGGAGTCAGATGGTTTTTTAATCTCCGTGACTGCTTTATTGTACAAAAAGTTACCAATAACAGAAAATTAGTTTGTTTTTTTTAAAGGACAGGAAAAAAAAGTCATTTTGGATAGAAGCACTTCACTAATTGCTTTATTTAAGCATACAAGGGACAAAGTCTTATCTGACCAATTAGGTTGGCAGGGTTTTATTACCTTTAAGAAGCCATTAGCTGGAGAAAAAGCCACTGAAAGCCGTGTCAAAACAAATAAATGATGCGCTCTCAATTAGCAGAGGCTCGGCCACTCCGCAGTGGGAACACCCCGCCCCCACCCCCAGGTTCAGGGACAGACAGTAGCTTTCAGCGTCTCTGGAGAGGGCTCGGCAGGCCCGGTACACGGGGACCCTGGTAAACATTTGCGTTTGCCCACTTTCCCTGGGAGCGGCTGCTGGCCGGGCACAGTGGGGCGGGTGGCACAGGCTGAGCCCCATCAGCAAGGGAAGGACATGGAGGGAACTTGCACGTCCTCCAACGATGCTGACCGTCCCGGGGAGAAGCACAGTCCTTGGAGGAGCCCAGCCAGCGGGCGCCCAGAGGGGGGACCAGCCCCAGGCCAGGCCTGTCCACCACTGCACTGCCTCCGTCAGAGGGGGACAGCCTGCCTCCCCCAGGTGACAGCCCAAACACCACTCCTAACCAGACCCAATTATTTTACCCTGGACACAAAACCAGCCCCACCACCCCACCCGCAGAAACTACTAGAAAGGAAGGCCACGGCCGCAGCCAGCCTGGAGAGCTTTCGGCGCCGGCCAGCATCGCCCACCCACCTTCGGGAGAAGGCCTGGACCAGCACTTGGAAGGCCTCGGCCACCGAGCGAGAGCTGCTCATCCAGAGGGTGGGGGTTGGGGGCCTCTTGGAGGTACCGTTCAAGAAGGGCGGGAGCCCTGCTTCTGAAAATCGACACCCAGACCCCAGGGGCTAGAGACCAACTCCCCAGGCCTCACTCTTGAGACCACAACGCTGTCCCCTCTGTCCACAACGGCGAGGACACGCGGGGTGAGAAGCAAGGGGCAGGCTGTGTGCCCTGTCGAGGCCCCCCCCCAAGCCATCTCAGAGAGACGGTGTTGGGAACCACTCCTCGATGAGGGGACGGAGCAAACGCCAGGCCACACGGCACAGACCACAAGAACCCTGTCCTCCCTCAAGACCCAGACCCACGCCCACGGCCCCCCGTGATTCTAACTCATGGCCACCCCAGGACAGGTCTGCGGGCTGTACACCACGGGGCGGCGGACAACAGCATCCTTCCTTCTCCCACCGGGAACGGGAGGGAGGGGCAGGGGTGCCGCACCACCAGGAAGACCAGCCAGAGCCGGAACAGCTTCCATCGCCACGCCACTCTGCACCTCATTCCACGGCTCCAGGGGCTGGCTGGCCTGAGCACTGCGGCACTGACCTTGGCTCCGGGGGGGGGCGGGGGGGCTCCCAGGCGGGGCTCGCCCAGGCCCTGGGAAATGTGCCCATTCCTGGGGCGGCACTCTGTGGTCATGGCAGAGCCCATAAATCAAAGCCCTGGTGGAATATTTCACCGGGGGCGATAGAGTGATGTTTGGTTAATGATTTGAGATCCACTGATCCTAAGTGGGGTGGCCCATTTGAAGTGGCCTCCATGTAAATTCCCAGTTCATTAAGCACAGCCCAGGTCGGGCAGGCCATTATGCAGTTTCTGTTTAAGGAATGGGCCGAGCGAGGACCGCCTGGAGATGGCCACAGGACACGCTGGCCGCCAGGTCTGGGCACTCCCACGACCCTGTCCCATCGAGCGGGGCTCACTCCTACCACCGGCCGGCAGACGCGGGCGGTTTTCTGTAGCCGCCACTTCAGTTTACAGTAGGAAACGTGGTGCACACAACGCCCCGTCCCCCCACCCAACACACCATGTGCGAGATGATTTCAGACTTAGGAAGCTGCCTAACGGGCCCGTCTAGACGTGCTAATTACCCTCAATGCTGGTTTCTTATCTTCCACACTTTGTTACTCTGATCATTAGCAGTGAGAGAACAGCCGCTCTGGGCTGGGGACGGGCTATAAACTCCTAACACGCTCCCCACTCTCGTTCCCTGGGGAAGTACAGAGGGGCCAGCAGGCACTTTCGCCCCCCCTCACACGTTTTTGGTACCAAATTTCTCACACACACAAAAAACAAAAACAAAAAACCCAAAACACCCACCACAATAGATGATTTAAAATAAAAACAAAGCAAAACCCCTCTTTCGAAATGGTTTTCTCGTGTCGCTGACACGGCCGTTAGGAGAATCTGCGCGCTCACTCACACCTGACGGACGCGTCACAGCCTCTGCTGGGCCTGGGAAGGTCCCCTCACTCTTCCGGAAAATCATGAGAACAGACCGACAGCGAGCACTGGCCGCGGACCGCCACCTCTGTCCCGAAGCAGTCCGACTGGCCCGTCTGGGCTTGGAGGGAGAAAGGTCAGCCGGCCGCCGCAGTCGCGGCGCAGCGAGCACACTGGACGGAGCCGAGTCCAGGGCTGGGCAGGGCTGTGCCTCTGCCGGCAGGCGGCCATCAGCACGCGCACCACCGCAGGAAGCACACCGCCTAGCGAGACTTCACGCCGACGAGGACGACGATGAGGACGACGATGACGACCACCAGTATCAAGATCACCAGCATCTTCCGGTTCTTCTTCTGGTGCTGCTCCGCCTGCATGGACGGAACACAACCGGTCACGCCTCCGCCAGGCCGCAGGTGCCGCCAGGGTCACATCAGACCCCGCGTCCGGTTGACTCCCCTGCAGAGACTCCTGGTGGGGTCCCCAGGTGGAACTCCCAAGCAGCCGTCCAAGCAGCGCTTACGGGCCTCTACTCACCTGGAAGGAAGGGGAAGAGGAAAGGAGAGGCTCAGGAGGGCCACCGGCATCTGCCCTGAGATCAGAAGGACTAGATGGTGCCCGCCTACCACACCAGCCGTCCACTCAGGGGCACAGGGAGGTGTTGACAGGGTGGGAGAGAAACGCAGACCACCCCTCAGATGTCCAAACAGAAAAACAAAGCAAAAACCGCTCACTGGACTGGTGAGAGTGGTCACTGCTCTGAGACGTGGTTTAAACCCCCCAGATGACCCCGACACTCCCTCCCATTGGGGCTATGAAACAGGTAAAATAGGGCTGCCGTTCCCCAGAAGCACTGGGCTCCTCTGAAGAAAAGTCACCCCGCGAGACCGCGTGGCCCACACTGACTTCCAATCACAAGGACTTCTGTTCAGAGTCGGCAGGGAAACTGGACAAGTGGGAGGGGACCGCCGAAGGGGCATGCTGGGAACGCAGATGCACTCGAGTAACCGGACAGTCTGTGCAGAACCTGCTGACTGCCGGGAACAAGCCGCGGACAGCCTCCACCGGAGACAGCTCTCTGGACACACAGACCTCCTTCACCAGGACACAAACCAGGGCCTCACTGGCTCAAGTGACCAGAGCTGGGCTGTAGCTCCCCAGAACTGGGGAAGGAGAGCCTGTCCTACAGAGCCCACCTGCCCTTGTCCCACACCCCGACAGACAGGCTGGGGCAGGCCTGAGTTTTCCTAATCAGGAACCACAACGGCCAGGGAGCCTGGCCCTCAGTAGGTGTGCTCCAGGGCCACCCCGGTGATTTACATGCAGCACAGAGGACAGGACACTTTGTCCCCATGCCCCACCCTTCCTAACACTCGCTTTTACGGAAACACCACCAACCGTGCAGGTCAGAGCTGAGAGGCGAGCGGGTAGCAAGTCACGTGACTTGCTGCAGTGGACGTGACTTGCTACCCGCGCCTCTCAGCTCCAGGCAGGCTTCTTGGGCCCCACCGGCGGGCACGGGGACCAGCATCCGGTGGGGGAGCAGGAAGCTCAGTGACTGCAGCTGGCCCTGTTTCTGGTCAGGGTAGCCTGGCTTCGGCAGGGGGAGAGCACGCACGGCCGCGTGTCTCCTGTAATTGGTTACAGGCCCCGGTGCTCTCTGATGACTGTTTCAGATAAAAACAAATGTCACGGAGCAGACCCCGTCCACAGCCCGTTTGTCCACAAGGCCGCAGGCAGCCTGCTCCCCCATGCGGCAGGGCAGTGGCCATCAAAAGGGAAAAGTAGGTTTGATCTTGTCCAGGTGATCCCCCACCTGCCGGCATCAGGCGACCCACAGCCCGATGCACCTTCATGGGGCTAGCAGGTGCCCCTACGGGGGAGTGCCGAGAGGCACGGGAAGGGCTGGAAGGGAGGCCCAGGAGAAAACTGGAGGGCACCAGCCGTGGGGGGCCGCAGCAGTAACTCACGGGCGGCGAGGGACAGAGGGACACCCCCCTCGTCGAGCTGCTTCCCACTCAGAGAGGCCTTCTACCTGGTCTCTGGGACCTGGCCAATCTTCCCGGGGGCAAGACAGCCTCTCTTTCTCCAAAGGAGTGGCTGGTGGGCTGGAGCCGCCAACCTTTCAGTTAGGGTGCTAGAGTGGCTTTTGGGCGACAGGAATGCTGAAGACTGCCCGGGGTGTGGGCGGTGGGTGGGGGGACCTTGAACACCCGCTGACCATGACCTTGTGCAGCTGCTTCAGGCCGTCCTCCGTTTTGCAGTGCGACTGTTCGACGTTGTAGTCGATTCTATCCAGGACTGTGCCCTGAGCAATCAACGACAGGGGCAGACCGTCAACGTGCGCCGAGGCCGGGAAGACCCGGCTGCAAGGGCAGGCACGGGGCTCCGCACCTGCTCCACGATCATGGCCCCCAGGTCCCGGAAGATCTCGTTGAGGTCCGAGATGGACTGCACGATCCGGCGGATCTCGTGCTCCCGCTCCTCCACCAGCAGCGTGTTCTGCTCCACCAGCACCAGCTGCTCGTCGGTGAAGCCCTGCGGCACAGACAGGCCGGCTGCTCAGGAAGGCTGGGCCGAGCCCCTGCCGGCTGCAGGTTGGGAAGGCGAAGCTCGGCGCTACTTCCATGAAGCACGCAGACAACAGCCTGCCGCAAGCACGCTCATCTCCCTGACGGGAAACTGCCCCACAGGCAGAAGAGGTGACAGCCCTGGGAGGTGGGCTGGAGAGTCCCACCTCTAGCTACACAAGTGCTGCCAGCTAGACTACCAAGGGAGACTCTGGGCTTCTCTGAGCTCTTCTAGAAGGTTCTGGAAGGCCCCACCACCACTCAGCCTGGGCCTTGCACCGGGCAGGGACACTCTGGGCAGACCAGTTAGAGGGAGGAGTAGCGTGCAGCCCCTTCGCCTACCCGATCATACAGTGCAGTGTCATCTCCACTGTCCACGAGCGGTACTGATGTGTCAAAGAAATGCTGGGACCTTTCCTCACGGTTCTTCATGCCTGTCACACAGAGGAGCCCACGTCACCCCAACGTGCAAACCACCCCAGCCACGGCACCCAGCACAAGGGGCCCGGGCCAAATTCCAACAGCCACAATGGCAGCAGGGTTCCTATTGGCTTTGAAAGGCGCACCCCTCCCCCCCATTCAGGGGCCTGGCAGGGGTCCAGACCACAGGCCAGTGTGCTAACACGGGGTCAGGCAGGGAGCCAGGGCTGACACGCTGACCCCACACCCAAGGCTCCTCGGAATCTCTAAAGGGAAGCAGGAACATTTAATCCAACTATTGCTACAAAACACTGAAATAAAAAAAATCAATTATTTCTCTCTAGAAGTATCTAATATCAATTCCAAATGGCCCTAATCAAATTTTACAAGTAATAAAGTACAGATTGGAACACGCTGCTTTGAGGAGGCGCACTGAGGGTGCCGGAGTGTGAGGGAGGGGGGTTGTTTGGGAGACCGCAGAGACCACCAGGTTGGAATGAGGGTGCAGCGGGCCTGTGGTTGGGGGCTGTTGGGGGGAAGGCTGGCCTGCACGAGCTGGGGGCCCTGCTCTGGCTTCCACACAGCCCTCCGGTGTGGGAGGTGGCGTCATGTGCCCATGCAGGCTGACGGGCACTCACGCTTGAGGTAGCCCGACTGCGCGTGCCGGAAGGTGGAGGACAGCTCCTGGAGAGCCTGTGCCAGGGCCGCCACCACGTTGCGGAGGAGCCGGGCTTCCTGCTCCGAGCAGGTCTGGCGCGCCCGGCCCGGCAGGGCCTGCACCGCGCGCTGGCACCTGTGGAAGAGCTGCGGGGAGAGGGGGGCTCACTGGCGGCCCAGCAAGGGGCACGCAGCCCGCGAGGTGCCCCCGTCCGTCCCGGCAACGCCCCCTCGGCACGCCCACCACCCGGTGCTAAGGTGTGCCCGCGTCACAGGTGCAGCCTGTGCAGGCCGACTGCCCTGACCCTCGCCACCGCCTGGAAAGCACGGCACTGGCCACGCGTAAACACGTGGTCAACGCAGATGCTCCGTGAGGGATGTTTACAGGCACCGAGTCTCTGTGAGGAGGGCTGCCGGGCAGGCCCTGCCCGTTGGAAACGACTTGGGTCAATGAAGTCAGTTTTCGAAGGATTTCATCTCTACCTCGGGACACTGCGCTCTGGGAAGCTGTCCTCCCACTGGCTGTGGCCCGGTCCCGCTATGACACGTGGCGCCACACGGCGTCCCCACCCTCACCTGTGTGACCTCCTGTGTGGCGATCTCAATGGCGTGCTCCTCCTCGCTGCTGTCGTCCAGGGTGGGCCTGTTGAGGTGCTTGTCGTGCAGACTGACTAACTCTTTCATCTTCTGTCTGATCCGGCCGACGTCGTACTGTATCTAGACACACGGCGCGACGGGCCCCGCTGAGTCCCGCGAGCAGGCCCGCTCACAGGGGCAGTGCCATTCTGGGGGGTCCACGTCCAGGCATCCCCGTGCTACGACCCCATTTCCTTTGTCATTAATGCAGCCCCCCCGATCACAACCAGTCGCCCTCACTCACACAACCTTCTCGCGTGGGAGTGGAATAGGGGACCAATTTCTAGAGATGGGCACTGCAGGTGAGCGCATTACATCTTTGTGGCAGACGATCTTACAACGCCTACGTGTTCCCAAGACGTAAAGGAAGAGTAAGATAACGTGAAACTAACATTCAACTTACTTCGTCCACGCCATCCACCCACTTGGGGGGCAACCGTTTTGTCACACCAATGGCCGCTTCTGGGTCCAAGCTAAGGCCTGACACCAGTGCCATGCGGTCGTCAGCGAGCTACAGGGGAGAAGCGAGAGGAGGCGGCATTACTGGGCGCCAGTCTGGAGAAGCTCCTCCCAGGGGCACGGGAGCACCAGCCCTGACCCTGCTCCCCTATCTCGGCCTGCACCTGCACTTCGCGTCCTTGGACACGGGCTGACCGTGAGTCTGGCTGGAGACCTGGCTCTGGACATGGGGTGGGAGCCAACGATGAACTTCAAAGGAAAGAGCTGTCAGCAGGTGCAGCTGACACGGGCCGGCACAAGGCCCCACCACCCACCACCAAGCCACACAACTGCAGGGCCACCCCCAACATGGAGGCTTCCTGGGTCAACGTAGCCTGGCTCTCTGCGGCCCAGGACCACGGGCTGAGAAGTGCCCAACAGCCTACAATGGTGGGCAGAAGACCCACCCTCGCCCAGCAAGCCCCGTCCTTCAGCTCCCAGTGCAATCTGCCGTGGACGTTCTTTTTTCTCACTCCTTCTGAGGCGACACCAGTAATTCTCTTGTCCTGAGTCACACATCACCTTAGAAAGCTTTTCCAGATGGGGGTGGGGGCACCACCGGTTCAGCCTGGCAAAGCCCAGGCGCTGGCTGGTCCAGGCCAAGAGGGACACAGGGACCAGAGGACCCTCCAGAGTGAGATCTACAGAGGCCACTTTCAAAGGGTCTGAGGGACAATCGGGCGGTAATGGGACTGCACGTGACAGAGCGCTGGCCCCACACGCCCTGGGTGGGGAGCGCACTGGCGCGCGTTCATCTACATGGACTTTCTCATTCATGCAGCAGCGGGGACTTGCTTGCTTTTAACAACATCACAGAAGGAAACCATGACAGGGCAGTTCTCAGCCCCCATGTCTAAGTCCTGATGTGGCAGCCACTGCCCAGTTCCCAGAAGCAAGTTGGTCTCTTGCATTGACCCCTCTGCACTGGAGATATTGCTCAGGAACTGCGCCCCCCACAGTAACCCACCGAGGGGCCACAGCCCCTGGGACGGCTCCACTGTCACCCTCGGGGCACTTCCCCACCCCACCACTGGGCCCTGTGAGCGTGTGCCAAGGTTGCCCACCCAGCCACTTTACAGGAGATGAAAGCCGACTGGCCGGGGCCCTGGAGGCCCCGTCCACCCCCACCACCGGTTGCCAATCACACTGACAGGCCCGTGAAATGGAATTGGAATTTGCAAAGACAACTCGGGAGGCCCACAGGCCAGCGGGTCAGAACAAGAGCACAACTCACTGCTCTGGGCTGCTCCCCAACAGCACAGTGAAGGAGGCTGGGCTTCTGGTGAGTGCCCCTCGCCCACACGCCTCTGTCTAGGCCAGCCAGTCCTGCACACACTGCCCAGTAGGGCTGTAGGGGAGCACAGGGAGACCCTGAGCCCAGGGTTTTCACACACCCACCTTCCTGCCGCCACCACACTTAATCGAGTCACAAGGGCCATGTTTGAAAGTTTGACTCGGGCTGTCGCTTCTGTTTACACACACACATTCAACTCCCAAATCCCCATAAAACGAGATTCCACCCCAAAGAGACCCAGAGGTGGCCCAAAGAGCCTGACCCAACACTTCCTGTGTAAGAATCACAACAAAGGAGCCCCTCTGGGGACAGCACCTGCTCCCTGCACTGTGGGGATAGCATGTCCCTCCCCACAGCGGGTCCTTCCCTGTCCCACAGGGACCTCTCAGATGGCAGTGCGTGCGTGAGAGAGAGAGAGAGAGAGAGAGAGAGAGAGAGAGAGAGACAGACAGACAGAGAGAGGGTGTAAAGTCCGTTTGGGGAAGGGAAAACCTAACTGAAGTTCAGTGTCCACTGCTTAAAATGTTAAAGAAACAAGAATAAAAGCTGCGTTCCGAGCGCACACCAGTCACTCTCAGCTTGGGACGCACCCTCCACAGCACTGCTGGGCCCAGGGCCCCCACACCAACACTCGCCCATCTGGTCCACACAGGCCCAGCAGAACTGCCCGTGGAGACCCCAGGTCCCTCCTCCGATGGAGCCCCTGCTGGGGTCCAGCCCCCACTCCACTTGGCTCCTGCCCAGCCCAGGCCCAAGCCCACGTGCTGCC